GTGGAGATTTTAATTTAGGGCGATTAATTAAACTGAAATCTGTTCTATCACGATGCATTACATGCATGTCCTCACAAATGTCTAGTGTAACGTCGGATAGATTCATTGTCATACGGTCCCAACAAGCAGCAACGTAGTCTTCCAGCCGAAAATAATTACTTTTGATTGGGGTCAGTAATTATAATAGATAATTACTTCGGCCAAACGGCGTTATTCGATATATTGCAGCCAGCTTCGGCCTCAGCTGGCTGCAATATATCGAATAATGCCGTTGGCCTCAGTAATTATCTATTAAATATCCCCCACAAGGCATACACATCAAACGGATTCTTACCACAAATTCTTCAGAGGCTCTAGGCTTGCATTCATCTTTAATAATGAGACCCTCAAAATCCCAAGACAACTAATTCTCAATGTGTGTTTCAGCATTTCTTTTCCCTTTGTCGACATCTCTAGATCCATCTGGATTGACCAGAAAAGAGTTGTCTAGTTTTGCCTGTTGTAAAAGTTTTTTTCCCACATGCTTTTCTTCTGATTTGGCTTTCAATAGCTTGCCTGAAAATAGAAAAGGTAAAATTTATTAACAATTCTGTTCTGTTCCCTCAGCAAATATATTCTGTCTAGATTGGCAAGGGATGACTCTTACTAGCTGAATCTCTAGGAAGAACATTTTAGAACTGATATAGCTATCCAGTGTAAATAAATTATTAGTTAAGTCTGGTAGGTTTTCTCCTGAAGAAACACTGTATCATGAAGAGATGACCCTTTCTGAACCTCTCTACGAAGAACAGTTTTGAACTGATTAGAGCTATCCGGTGTAAATAAAGTTAGTTTTGTTTACATTAGGTTACCTCCTGTAGTAACACTGGATCAGTAAGAAATGATCCTTACTGGATCTCTAGAAAGAATACTTTGGAAATGATAGAGGTATCCAGTATAAATAAAGTTAGTTTAGTTTAGGTTTTCTCCTATAGTAACACTGGACCAATTAAAGAGGTGATCTTTACCTGACCTCTAGAAAGAACACTCCATATTTAACCAGACTACATGTAAACAAAATCAAGCCAGATTAAATCAATAGCTAAAAGGAAAGTCCACCAGTGTGAATATCAAGATAATTTAATATTTTGCTGCTTGGCTCCTAGATGTCCAATGATCAACTCACTTTATAAATAATCAGTATAGATGGCAGTGGTATCACTTTAAAATATTGCTGTCTTTTAGTTAGATGCTGTTGCGACTATATTGATCCATTTGTTGAAATTTCTGTGCAAACTTTGAAATAGTGGGTTACTGTATGTGGCACATAATCAGCTAAGGATTATTTCTGTAGTGAGCCTAACTTGCAGAGTTACAGTTAATGCATGCAGCTCAGAGAGTACAAATTTGAAAAATTTCCATGGAAATTGAAACAATGTTGTAATTGAGGAACTTTTGAAAACTTTTCTTTCACATGTGATGTTATTGGTTCCTTTTGGAACAGCTTTCTTTCATATACGTGACTTCATTGGCTGGATTTGGTATGACAATCTATTGGTCAAACCTATAGAAATGCTTTTCTGATAGCTAGGGGGTTATATGTGGTTCAGATCTGGAGCAAGTCTAGGATTTTTCATACTTGGGCCACACCTAAGTCAAGATTCAAAATTTTCAAGCAATATGTTGCATCACCAGATCTGAATTTTGACTATTTTGCACAATATCAGGGCTTATCATAATGCATCAGTCAATTCCAGCTGCGACCATCCCCCCCCCCCCACGGCCGGGCATTTGTAGCTGCATGTTCACCCGGGGGGCGGGCATTTGTCAATATCGGGTTATTACCCCCGGGCATTTGTCGCTCACAGAGAAAAGACCGCGGCCACAACTTTTATATTATATTATTGTTGAATGTTGGTTTTCAAGTGTGAATCAATGTTTATGAATTCCCTTCAGTCCATATTATATATATTGTATTTACAATGAAAAACTTTCTGCAATAAAAGCAAGTGTGTCACAGCCTTTCGCCGATGTTTTCATCTGAAGTGAACACGATAGTTTTCCTTGTTTTTTTTTAAATCCCCAAAAGAACGATTAACAGAGGTATAAATATAAATTGTTAAAATGCATGTAATTAATTAATTTAGTATGTTCTTTGAAATTGACTAATTTGTTGGCCCTGTGGTGGGGCATTTGTTTTGCTTTTTTGTCCCAAGGGTGGGGCATTGTTCCTTCTTTTTTTGCACGAAAAAAATGAAAATTTACCAAAGATGATGTATAATGCCTAGGTAACACAACTTTTCCCAAGAAATCCATATTGTTCTTAAGCACAAAAGATTTTAGCCGCCCTGGGGATTTGTAATAGCTTCGAATCATATTCAAGAAACAAAACTCTACAGTGTGTACCATAAAAAAGGCTAGTCTTTGAAATCCAAATGAGCCATATTCTATTGAATTCATCTGAAAAGCTATATGAATTCAATAGAATATGGCTGATTTGAATTCCAAAGACTAGCCTTTTTTATGATACACACTGTAGAATTACTAATAGACATATTATGTATGACTTATTAGTAATTCTGCAGTTTTGGTTCTTGAATACGATTAGAAGCTATTTTAAATCCCCAGGCGGCTAAAATCTTTTGTGCTATAGAACAAAGTGGATTTCCTTTGGAAATTCTGCGAGGTTGCGTCTTTTTATACACCCTGTATTGATCCATTTACTGAAGTAAGCCCTAATTTCAATCATCGACTGTTAAAGTGAAGTGTTTGGCCGACAAACTTTCACATTTGAAGTACAAACGTTGCAATTTTGCATGTAATTAAAATATGTTTGAAATAACGTGTACACGTTTAGCCTTTATAGCTAGAGGTTAATGACTGTACGTTTTGAAACGTAAAACGTAAGTTTTCGAACCGCACGCCGCAAGCTTCTACGCAATGGTAATTTGCAGTGGCGTAGCCAGGCTTGATAAGTGGGGGGGACATATTCATATATTCGTGTTCACAAACCATAAAAACAATCGATTTTAAAAGAAATTAATTGTGCAGAGCACGAACATATGAATATGTCTCCCCCCCCACTTATCGAGCTGGCGACGCCATTGATTGGTAATTTGTAAACATTACAAGCAGTTACATGCCGCATGATTTCAATAGACCTTTCCAAGGTTTCTACTGCCATATTGCAGGGGGTGCAAAAACATTGGGGCAAGCGTGCGGCCACCAATGGCGCCCATACTATTTCCTATTGAGTGAGTGAAAATTACCTTTTGACATTTTGTCCTTTTTCTCAAAAAATTTCTATACAAGCATATCCAATTTTTATTTTTAGATAATCGCCGTGTTTTTTCTGATATGTGGCCGAGATTTCTTGCTAATGGAAGGACAGGAAGTAATAAAAAACTGCGGCTTTTGTTGCACAACTTGACCGATGTTTGAGCGATGATTCTTGTTAATTCATTTGTTTAACCAATCTTTGGAAGAATATTTGTCTATTACGTGTGTAAGTCCTTTGGTGTCCGCCATTATTACTGTTTATATTTGTATTTTTGTACAAAAATCATTGCTCAAATGTCTGTCAAGTTGTACAATAAAAGCCGCCGTTTTTTATTACTTCCTGTCCTTCGATTAGCAAGAAATCTCGGCCACATATCAGAAAAAAAACAGCGATTATCTAAAAATAAAAATTGGATATGCTTGTATAGAAATTTTTTGAGAAAAAGGACAAAATGTGATGAAGGTAATTTTCACTCACTCAATAGGAAATAGTATGGACGCCATTGGTGGCCGGGCGCTCGCCCCAATGTTTTTGCACCCCCTGCAATATGGCGGTAGAAACCTTGGAAAGGTCTATTCATACAATCACTTACCAAGTTCGTAAACTTTCTGTTTCTGTTCCTTTAAAAGATTTTTCCCTTGCGATAACCGATCGCATTTCTCAGATAATTCTGTTTCGTTATCATTTTCTATTGTTGTAGTTTGGTTAATGTCCATAGTATACCGATTCTCGAGAGTATTCCATAGAATGCTGCATTCCACCCTGTTTGGCAGGGGAAAATCCTTGCAAGTGGAAGCACTGAAATTTTGTTAATTTGAATTTCCGACTGTTTCCGTCAAATGCAAACTGAAATGATGGATTCAATCGATCTGATATTCGAAATTACTGTATTTACTTTTTGATTTATTTCTTCTTTTATTTGATATACTATTTTAAAATGCCTACATACCCATTATTACACTTTTTCCAAGAAGCTATTATGATTGTTTGGACGAGTCGCGAGTGGACATGGTCATGGATTGAAAACAATATCAAATCGGTATTGATCGACGATCATCAGGTTAGTTGTAGCGTTATTACTTTCACTGATTTATTTAGTAAAAACAGACACACATTGGTAATATTGCATACTAGAAACTAAAGAATATAGAACAAAAATATCATTTTCACTGTCCAATTCTGGAAAGCCACAGCCTGCTGCCTATAGTCTGGGCTATAGTACAAATGTTTAACATAATATGCGCACGTGGCACACGTGCAGTGCTGAAGCAAAGCTTTCGATTTGGCGGTCATTCTTATTTGTTTTTTAATATTTCATTTCTCAAACGATATTATGCGGGTGTAAATTAAAATTTTTTGTCATTAATCAATATCCGGTGGATACTGTAGCGCTATCCAACCGTCGTACAACCGGCCCCATGAATGGGGGTGAAATATGATGTATGACGGGACAATTGGTAATTTTCATTTTAGTAGAGTAATGTCACCCTGGTTTTTTTCTTGTCCTGGTCATAGTACTGAATTTTCAAATTGCTTGAGCCAGAAGAAATAAATAATAATTCTGAATACAAGCTTGAGCAACAATCTTTACTTCACATATATCCAAGCTTACAACATGTACTAGTCTTAGTATATGAACACACAAACACAAACAATATCGCATTACAAAATAGTATGATGAGCCTTTAAGTACAAAGGACACATATAAACGGTAGGAACCAGGTCTCTAGTTAACATCGCATTGCTGTCTGAAACCCTATAGTCTAGTGGTAAAACAACCGAACCGGCAATCGGGAGACACAGGTTCGATTCCCGTTGGGAGTTAAGATATTTTCTGAATACAAGCTTGAGCAACGATCTTTACTTCATATATATATATTAGACAATTGCCAGAGAGTTTAACAATGAGGTAACTAACATTTTCACAACCTCAAGAATGGCACAAACCATTCAGTAATACTGTATATGACAATACACGTAGTTGTTGTTTCTTACTCTGTACTCATTTGTTTAGCCATTTATGCTTAAAGAAGTCAAACCTGTCAAAGAACAGTCATACCTGTTCAAGCATCTGTAAAAGATAGACCACTTGGAAATTAATTGCTAATTCATTTCTTGTTTTCATTTTATTAGCATCCCGCATTAAGAAATATCCCGCATTAAGAAATATCCCACTTACTTGTATTATATTATTTCACATGTAGATCAATCCAGCAACCTATGGAATTGATATGGAAGATCCTTTGCTACTAGATCTAGAAAATGAATTGTCTAATCATGTAGAAGTTCCCGAAACACTGCAACCTGTAGACAAAAATGCATGGTTGGAACTCGAGGAGACAATTGATCGCAACCGCCCTTCGGCATATCAGGGTGTGGATATTTATGCGAGGTTCTTCAGTTCATAATGGAAAGGTTGCCAAGGCCTACTGGTAATTAAGTTCTAAGTAGTGTACATAAATTGCATTTCGCGTCGCTGCTGCACGGTTGAAAAAACAAACCAAAGTTTACAATTTTCCCATGGTTATTACCTGCCTGTTACAAGGTAGTAATCATGGGAATTTTTTTTGGAAGACAAGATTTACAAAATATTGATGTGGGATGCAAGAACTAAACAATTAAACATAAAAGGCAATCACTAAAAAATTCAAATTAGATAAACGTGACATGAAATTTTTATCATCCTTTTACAACTGTACCCCCTCACCATAGTATTAAGGTGGCTCCCTACAGTTTACTAGAAAATGGAAGATCTCTGATTTAGACCCAATTTTTCAACAATTACCATATGTTAAAGGACAAAGAAAGTCCGATTAGAAAAATAATAATAACTACAGAGTTGGATTCTTTTCAAGAAAAAAGGAATTGCAACTGCCGTCACTATGGCAACAACAACACTTCAATATGGCCGATATTTTGGGTTTAAAGTTATTTAACTTGATAATAAGGTTGGTTACCCCCATCTTTTATTGCATAAAAAGAATTTGTTTAGTATTTTGAATCATGATTTTTAAAAAAATCTGTCATGCAAAAAAAATTGTTACAAATTATTACATTGTCCGATCTTGAAAAATTTTGACATGACAGAATTTAAAATTATTTTCGAATTTCAATTACTTTAAGGGAATGTTCATTTAATATGACAAGGGGGGGGAGTGAAGATTTCGTATTGCTTACAAGATTTTTTTAGGAGCCCATTGCAACATTGCGCTGAAATTTGTGAGCCCCCCTGTAAGTATCCCTAAAAATTAAGAGCCCCCCCTTCTTCCTTTGCTCAATTTTAATAATACCCATATATAACTACATCCAAAATCTTAAAGATACCTGGGCGTTATCCTGATTTTAACTAGTTAATAAACATAATAGTCTTCGTATCTTGCATGTGGAAAACTAGCTGCTCTTCTGCTGCGTATCGTTGGCAAATTTGCAATTTCTTCATCAGAATCCTCAGACATTCCCTCAGTTGAATTGTCGTCTTCATCGCCTTCTGGAATTATCTGAAGTACTTCATCATCGTCAGAATCGGATTCACCATCTCCTGACAAAGTATCATCATCTGAAGTTTCTGCATCAATGGCTGCGTCGTTGGTCCTATTTATGTAGAAATCTGCTTTAATTTGTTTGATTTTATCCTCTTTTTTTCCGATAGTGGACAGGTCGTGTCTCTTAAGGTACTTGTCAAGTTCCATCACTTTTAATGAATTTAGTTTTCCTGAATCAATGAGGGTATTCCAATCGTAGTCCTCATAAGTTTTGCTGCACTCTTTTTCTCGTTTTTTTCTTCTTTCGTTTTCCCTGATAGCAGACATCATTTTCAACCCTTCAAGGTGTTTAACATATGATGCGACATCCTTCTCTTCAACACAATAGCGACTGGATACGTCTTTAAGTTGTTCGACATTGTCCGATGAGATCGTGCCAGCTTTATATAGACGCTTTATCACTGCCCTGGGAGCGACATCATCCACTTCCCTTAACTGCCTGTTATTGTCTGTGGTTAGTGTGTTGAAAACACTCATATAATGCCCTGGCTTATCAGGATCTGGATACAGGGCAGGGACTCTGGAGAACCTGGGTCCAACCCAGTCCTTTTCACTACATTTCTTGCATACCTCACCATTTTCCCGACATCCGTCCCTTATATATTCCATATATAGTTCACCAATTCTGTAGTGTCTTTCAATAAAGTTTAAAACATTTGTTATGTAGTGGTAACCAGGAACCTGTTGTTTTGACTCAGTGGCAGTACAACTTTGAAATTGTTTTAAGTATTTTTTTGTTGAAAAAGAAAGGGCTTTGCTTTGGAGTTAAATAACATTTAATAAACTCGTTAAACACTGGTGCCCCATCAACCCTATTGCGAATTTCATTAGCACAGTACCACGCATTCTTCTCCATTCTATCCGTCTCGTGTTCTTTGAACTCTTTCACCATCAGTTTACTTATATCTTCGTCACTTAGTCCATCAAAGCGTTTATGTTTGTTCCACTGGAGTGTTGCGCCATCTACGATACTGTCGCCGATTGCGCTGTTAGTTCTCTCGGCCTCGTTATCAGACAAATTACCCCTGGAAGAATGCAGTCTGATCCAATAGTCACTGTTATGGATAATCGCTAACTCAGCATCCCTGAACTGTACTTCGAAATTGTTACAAGCAACTCCAGGTCCAGTGTCGGTAAAATCCGCCCATCTTGGTTTCACAGGCGGAAACTTCAGCTCTGCAATCCCCTGAAGAAGAGAATGGCATTTTTTCAAAAGAGCATCCTATTTCGGCTGCACCTGATGTGCATCTGAAGGGAAATTGTCGCGCAGAGCTTTAGCAGTATCAATTATATCAGTCAACTTTATAGGGATCATTGCTGTTGCAAGTAGCTTTAACTCAGCTTCATTTAGATTGAAGCGACCACACAAAGACAAGGATGATTCCAAGCGAATCATTAAATGCGAGAGTCTCTCTTTCTCGTACTGACAATAC